CGCCGAGCGCGGGGCAGGAACGGGGGAGCTGGCACCCCGGCCGGGTGACGAGCCGGGGCCAGCAGATAGCACCGGAAGGAGACGGGGGTGGGGTGACGTCAGGGGGACGTCACATGACGCCCGACCCTGGGAGGGGCCGCAGGCAGACGAGGGCGCTGACGTCATCTGCCTGCGACCGGCGGGCCATTCAAAAGCGGCCGGGAGCCAGGCAGGGGGGGAGGACGCAGAGGAGACGCTTCCCCCGCAAAGACCAGCGAGCGTAAGCGGGTGTTGGAGGCCCTGGGTGGGGGCCGAGGGAACACCCAGGTGAACCGATTGGTTCCAGGGGAAGAAGTGGCCCAGGGCAGGGACGTGGCTGACGTCATCTGCCTGCGACCGGCGGGCCATTCAAAAGCGGCCGGGAGCCAGGCAGGGGGGGAGGACGCAGAGGAGACGCTTCCCCCGCAAAGACCAGCGAGCGTAAGCGGGTGTTGGAGGCCCTGGGTGGGGGCCGAGGGAACACCCAGGTGAACCGATTGGTTCCAGGGGAAGAAGTGGCCCAGGGCAGGGACGTGGACCCTGAGAGCAGGGCAGTTTAGGGGGTCTCGACCCCCCCTGCTAGGTGGGGAGTCTTTCCCTTACCTTAGGGCCCTGGGCTGGGGTCCGGAGCGAGGGCGGGCCCGGACCCCCTTCCCCCAACCGCCGTGTGCACGCACAGAGCGAGTTGCGTGGAGTGGCAGACGACGCTTTGGTAACTGAGGGGGCAGACCTAAGCCCCCCCGGGGGTCAATCCCCTACACTCTTCACAAGCAGGAGTTGTTACTTCAAAATAACAGGCTTGGTAGGATACGTCTACACTGCACGCTTATTTTGGAATAAACCATTTCAGAAGAAATACGCCGAAATAGCTTATTTTGAAATAGAGCGTCTACACAGCAAATGCCCATTGAAATAGCGCTGAATCACATTTAAGGCCACTTTGAAGCAGGGGATCAGGACAGCAGTTACTTCCTGGAGCTGCTACCTGATGCTATCTGAGGCTCGAGCTTAAAGGGACCCCCTCCCCACACACACTCCTGTACAGCCATGTGTCAGGCTCCTCTCTTTTGCCTATTTGAAAGACAGCAAACCCATTCCTTTTCTGGCTGTGGTTGCCCTTGCGGACACCTCCGCTCTCTAGCCATGGAGCCGGAGCTGCCACCTACCACTCAGCAGCTCTTATCTGTCATGCTGCAGCAGTTTCTGCAAGCTGCCTTCCTGGCTTTACAGGAACTCAACCCCCAGCTCATCTCAGAGAACCTCATCATTTCTCTGTGGGCGCAGAGCGTGCAGCTAGACCCCACCATGGCTTCTGGCATCTTGGAACCAGTTCCGACTGGTGGGACTGGCTCGTTATGGAGCGATGGGATGATCAGCAATGGCTCCAGAATTTCCACACACAGAAGGGCACCTTTCTGGAGCTGTGTGAGTGGCTCACCCCTGTCCTCGGGCAATGGGACACTCACATGTGACCCACAGTCCCCCTCGAGAAGCGGGTTGCCGTTGTCATCTGGAAGCTCATCACACCGGACAGCTACCGATCCATTGGTAACCAGTTCGGCGTGGGGAGATCTACTGTTGGGGCCCTGGTCATGCAGATATGGCACTCTCAGTTATTGTCCCAGGAGGGTGGTGAAGTGTTGGAAAGGGGTATCCTAGGGAAAGGGGGGATTGCTGGAGGTGGAAGCTCCCTCCCCAGGAGGTTTTTCAGTCCCAACTTCACAGAGGCCTGCCAGGGGATAGGCTAAGTAGGGGGTTGCTCCTCGTGTGTGGCGGGGAGGAAGGAGCTCAGGGACTTTCCAGGGACTCTGGCAATCCTATGATTCTTTGTTTGTTCATCTCCTACAGGTGATGAGGGCCATCAACACCATCCTGCTACACAGGGTCATCAACCTCGGTGCTGTTGACCCCATTGTCACCACCTTTGCCAACATGGGCTTCCCCAACTGCAGAGTGTGAGTGTATTGACAGCATCCACATCCCCTTCCGGGCCCTTGACCACAGGGCATCTGTATACATACATATTTTTCAATGGTCCATCTATGTTTTTAAAATTGGGGTAGAAATAACTGGGGACAGACTGGGGAAAGAACCTGCGAGAGGGGAGGAGAGAAGGCAGGGGGAGGAGAGGCTCAGGGCTGAGGCTGGGAGTGGCTCCTGGCTCTGGTGGTCCCACCACTTCAGGTGTGGGGACCTCAGTGGCCATGGGGTGGGACTAGGGGGAGAAGCAGGAGGGACAGGAGCAGGGGCAGGAGCAGCAGCAAGGGGTGGAGCAGGCACTGTGTCAGTGATGAGCGCTTGTACAGCCGTGCAGATGGTGTGGCCCTGATCCAGCATCTCCTGTGCCATAGCTGGATGTCCTTCTCCAGTCTCTTGCCCAGGGTGTGCTGCAGGGCTCACAGTGAGGAGATGTGCTCCTGCTGGAATTCCTCCTGGGCTCTCCTGCACCGGTGGGTCACTCATGGTCAGGAGGCTGCCGGGTGGTGTCAACCTCCCTCCTCTCACAGCTGGTTTGGCTGTGGAGAACAGAGAGAAGGTCAGTCATCCCTGGAGACACTGTGCCTGAAGCCTTGCCCTCATCTGTGAGCTGAGACCAATAGTTCTCCTTTCAGATGATGTTTGGAGCAAGGCCATTTGTGGGGCACAGATGTCCAGGGGGGAGCCTCACTAATCCCACATCCAGGGGACAAGCAGACATGGGAAGGTGCCAGCCAGACTGGGATCCTGCATGCAGAAGCGGGGCCATGGGATGGCTGGGCTTGCCTCTGTGCTATGCACACACTGGGTCTGGCAGTCACAGCATCCTGCAGGAGGAGGACTTGTATCTCTGCCCACTGGAAGGAGGGGGGCAGAGTTTTGGGGGGCGGTGTGTGTGAGTGTCAGACATAGAATGAGGTTTACAGAATCCAGAATAAGCCACCCATTATTTCAAAATTATTTCAAGATAACGGTCTTGCTCTGTAGACGCTCTCACAGTTATTTCGGAATAACATCCATTATTCTGAAATAATGCTGCTGTGTACATATACCATACTGTGGACACTTGCCTTGTTATTTCGAAATAACTCCCCAATGTAGACATGCCCCAAGAAACCAAGCACTTGACATTCAGACTGAGACAGCTCAATCTTCTGAGGAAAGCAATCCCCCTAGTGGGCAAAACCTATCCATGCAGCTGTCCTCTTTCTGCTTGCTTGCTTCATTGCAAGTGGGTTCTGGTGAACTTAATTATAAAATAAGTCGAGAATTAATGGAAAGTTAAATGAACTAGAATGAATTGAGTGCTGCTATAAATAAATCTAGTTGATGCCTGACCAGAGTGACAGATTCTATTACTGCCTGATAGGGGTTTATTTTGTAAGGTTATATTTTTAAATGTATTTCACTCTGATGAGACTGGGTGGGCAGTCCTGGACACCGAAGTCTCCTATTATCTGAAGAATCAATACATTGTGGGCTAATAAATACTTGAATGTGGTTCATGTAAAGTTTTGATGGTTCCTCTGCATACAGATACTATTGGCAGTGACACAGTTTACGATTAAAAATTCTGGAACTCTTGATCCATTAGAGGGGCACCAGCTAGGGTTAGGAAGTAATTTCTCTTCCGGTACAACACTAATTTAGCCAGATCTCTATCTTTTCCTTCAAAGGCTGTGTCTAGACTATGTCCCTCTTTCAACAGAGGGTTGCAAATTGGACATTTTTGGAGGAGTACAGGATCTTTCGAAAAAGCATGGTATGAGGAATCAGACAATATGGGTTCTGTTTGAAAGAGCGCAATGACAAATGAAGTGTGGGATATTTGCAATTTCGAAGTGTCTAATCTACATCCCTCTGTTGAAAGAGGGATGTAGTCTAGGCACAGCCTAAGTAAAAGAAATTCTTTCTGTCTATAGTAGAGTATACTACAGATATTTGTGTGTGCAAGTGGCCTGTTATCCTGGGCCCAATTCTTCTCTTCCATAAACACAGAAAGCTAATTCACTTGCCTTTGGTACTTGTGCATACTTTGAAGGGTAGAATTTATCCCACGGATGTTCAGGACAAGAAGCAGCCACTGTCCACAGTCCCCTTGTGTCCGGGCTAATCACAGACAATGCCATCTCAATTCTTGGAATTTTTTTGTGGCAGAGCAGGGCAAAACATTGCTAGTCAAACCCCGCCCCCACTCCCATCTTCCTGCTCAACAAAGCCCTCTCAAACCAATGGGCAGCTACTCCTGAGGTAGAAATGATGAATATATTAGTCTGCACTGTCCTTAACATCTGCAGTTGCTCACTCTGGCAGCTGTGTTCCTTGAGCATGCTGCTGGCAGACACCGCAACTGGGAATAACAATGCTTTACACTTCTATAGGGCTTCTTGGCTGCAGACCTCAGCGCTTTGCAAAGGAGAGGAGTTGTCATTGTTCCCTGTTTCAGAGATGGGGAAACTGAAGCAAATCACTAGCAAATCACTATCCCTAAGTCAGATAGTGACATAGCACTGGAGTGTGTGGAGGGAAGAGGGACTAGAAGTCAGGAATCCTGGTTCCCATTCCTATATTGAATTTACCTGAGACCACAACAAGCACACCTGAGATGGCAGCCAGAGGCAATTGCAGTCAGTCTCAGTGATCTACAGGAACTTAGCCATCCTCTTTCTGTGTGATTCCTATTCTTGCAAGCCAGCCCCACATGCTTTCCAATTTTACCAGACTCTGCTTTGTTTCACTGGGGCTGCTGTTGCCATGTGTATTGGCAGGGGGAGGCAAATGTGAGGTGATGCTCATCATAGCTCCATCTGAAGCCCTTGTATCCCCACTAGGGACTGGACCTTAATTTTATGTTTCAGGTTCCCTTTGTTCTACAACTAGCCCCTTGTTTTTCACAGTGCTCTTTGCAATGAGACACAACAATGGCAGTGCCATCCCTGTGAGCATAACAAACACTCGCAGGGCATCTGGTGTTGGGGGACATGAGGAGCTCTTTCAGGAGCTCTATCTCCATGGCACATTAGAGTGTGCCTCGTTTTGCTCCAGCTCAGCTCACTCTTGTATTCATCTGTAGAAAGAAAAAAGGAAGGAAGAAAAGAAGTGCGTTCCCCTCAGAGGTTCTTCCTTTGATTGTGTTGGAAAGGTAAAGAGGAGTCACCCTTCCCATGGGAAAAGCAATGCATTCTAGGGATCCACTGGAGGATCGGGGCCAGGTGTGCAGAAATCTCACACCCCTGCTGTTTTCCCTTGCTGCACAGCTCCACTGGAATTGCAGTGGCCAGCGCTCCCCCAGGTAACCCTGCCTCACAAAGGAAGTTCTCTAGCATGGAGGACATTGTGTTACTTTAGGGTGAATTTATCACGAGGCGCAGCATCTGCATCCCTCTGCAGGAGTGTCTGTGAACAGAACTAGTCGATGTGCAGACTTTGCATCCACATGACCTTGACTGTAATGACTTTGTCAGCCAGCAGGAGCTGATTTAAACTGGAACACTGGCTCCAAGGCCCTCCCGACATCTGAAGAGTTTCAGTTGTGGATCTGAACTAACATCCTGAGCTCACTTCTGCCAATAAGGAAACATGACAGTAAATATCAGCCTGTTTGTTCCCCATTATTTGTTACCATTGATACACCTGTTTTATCAGACTCTGTTCTCCTTGCATCCCTGGCCTGGGTTCTTTGCTGGGTTCTTTTAGGAATTTATAGCGCAAGCTCTGGTGTCCTCTACATGGTCACAGCGGATATTTGATCCACTTGCAGATAAAGGCATAGCTGTTGCAGGGCCTCCCCATTTCTAACTTGTAACCACTGGCTCCCCCTTTTTAATGCTCCACCTTTCCCAGGAGCAGAGAAGATGAATTGCTTTGGGAACCGTCTATTGCTAAGTATGCGAACAGAGCAGGCGAGGTGTGGTCAGAAAGCTTCACGTTCCCTGTCAGAGGATTCTCATATTGGCTTGGTGGGGTGAGCTATTCTTCCTGCCAGGCCTTTTGTTTAGCAGCAGTTTGTTAATTCCCTTTCTCCTTTGCACATTACCATGTGGGCTTTATTTTGGCTTTGTATTGAAACAAGTCCAACCAACAGATTTGTTTGCATTCCCCTAATACTTTATGGCCTGATTTAATGAGACACTATGAGGGTTTGGGATGGAAAGACAGGCTGTCAGACAGGATCATTTTTTGTTGAGATGGAAAAGGCCCTAATTCACATCTCCCCATATGTTATCTTAGTAAATGTTTAAGTTATAAACATATTTCTTACTAACTATCCCATTTCCTGTTACAAATTTAGGACTTCAGACCTCTTGCGCTGTACACCGAGGCCACTTGGAAAGTCACCGTACTGGTGGGGTTAGAGTTCAGATACTTCTGCTTCTAAAGCAACTTAGCCCTTGAGCTAAAGTATTTGCTGCTAATAATGCAGAGTTTGTGACCCATGGGGAAGCAGCTCTCCATCCATCCACTACAGCAGTGTTTCTCAACCAGTGGTACGAGTACCCTTAGGAGTACTCGAGAGAAGTCTGGGGGGTACGTTAACACAACTGAAATTTGGAGAAAACAGAATTTTTGTTTTAAGTTTTACAGCATTTTATTATTTTTGTACTTTTTACACCCCAAAATTTCATCGCCTACCCAGCTACAATTAAGTTGTTTAAACAAATGTATTGCAATGGTAGAAAAAAATGTGTGTCTGAAAACTGTAGGTACTGGGGGTACTTATAATTTTTTTTTGAAAAGGGAACTTCATAAGAAAGGTTGAGAAACACTGAACTAGAAAACACCACTGCACATGCTCATTAGCTAGCCTGTTATGTTAAAGCAGCCTGCATACATTGCATATATTCCACCCAAGAAGGAATGATTTGGCACCAAAAAGAGCCAAGGTGATATTATCGCACCTTGGCATGTCTTGGTTCCATATCAGCACCTTGTCATCTTATACCGATTTGAAGGGATGTGCAGGCTCTCATCTATTTGTTCAGGACTAGATGTCCCCCTTTTGGCCTTAAAATCTGTGATTCTATGCTATGAAACTTTAGGTCAGTGATTCAAATACAGATCAAATCAGTAGTGCCCCAAAGTTGTTGCCATTTGATAGCTCTTTTGTGGCTACTTCTGAACTACATAGCGTACCAGGGTCCAATTGCTAGTGGATAGGTGTTCACACCACAAACACTGCCTTGTCTTGGAACTAATTGGCCTTCCTGCCAATTAGGAGAAAGGACTGAATGGGCCATCATGCCCATGCCATCTTCTTTCCCACACTTCTGGATGGGGAGGGAAGGCACAGCATGTGGGGGAAGGCCACATTCTGTTTATCCAGGCTGTCCCCATGCTATAGCCAGAGAGACTTCCATCTCCAAGGCTGTCTATCTTTTGCTAGCACTAAAACTCTCCCACTTATGCCAGCATCTCAAAAACCCCAGCCTGTTCCACCTGCCAGTAGACCAAGGCCAGAGAGAGCAGGTAAAAATTTGTCTTTTAGGCATCACAGTCTGCAATAGGGCAGTGAATAAATGACAACAATGGGGCCATTACA